AATCCTTTAAAAGAATGATGTGCATCTAAAAAATGAGTTACCTGTATTTGGAAACTATTTTTTTTAGGCAACAAAGGAGGACACAAAATGGTATATACAGTATGAGCCAAATCCACCTGTAAGAAAAAAACGTGTATGGGGGGGGACTCGATAATATGGGTGATTGTAGTCACCACACTGTTTTTCATGTGAAACCTTCATAAGACTGTATATCAGTAATATCTTAATAATAAAAAAATAACATGTGTAGACCAAATGTTTGCTGTCTTACTTGAAAGATAAAACTGATTACTCCCACTCTTCTTTCTCATTCTCATTTTTCTAATATTCTCTGCTTTCATATTCATTTTAGTGCTGGGGGAAAAGAAATAATGAGAAAAATAACACTGAATAACCAATTCAGTTTGAAAACTTTAAATAAGTTTCTATCAACTTCCTGTGAGACTGTTGTCTAAACAGTATTTCATATATTTATGTGTGGGTATGTGTGTGTGTGACACACATACATATGAATAACTTTCTTTTGAATAAACTGTATGAATCAGGGATTTGAAAAACTGTTAATTAAGGGAGTTGGTTCCTCATGCTTCAAAAGACAACCCCAAATACTGCAAATATATCCCTCACAATGATCTTCCCAAAAGTCTTACATAAACACTGCACTTGGGAACAATACAACTTCATAAAACGTAGGAAATTTTGTGGTGCACTTCTGAGCCTCCACCAGTGGTTAGAAGATGCTGATACATCTTGTCTCCATTCATGGAAAAGAAAAGGAGAAGAGATGCCACAATGAACCACTGCTGGGTAATGAGCCTTTCTGCACCTCCTCAAGACCAGCTGCAACCATCTCTAGTCTACTTCAGGCTCCACTTAACAAAGTAAAATGGGGAAACGCTGTCACAGTTGGCCCCGAAATCATTACTTACACAAGGAAACTTTAATGTAAACTTATTTGGTTAGCAATATAACTAATGCTTAGGTACAAAATTAATACTCTACAAGTATCATCTAAAATTACAAAAATTCAAAAGTTTTAAAACATAAATAATCTTTTAACTTGCTTCATAGAAAATGGCCAAAAGGTTATTCTTCTACAAAAATGGTCTTCTTTCTCTCAACTGAGCCATCCTCTCTTCATGATCAGACAAGACTTATGAGAAAAAATTCTGGAAATGTGTTTTACAATGTGAATAAACTTAACATTACTGAAATGTACACTTAAAAGCAGTTAAGATAGTAAATTTCATAACATGTTTTTACCGCAAGAAAAAATTTTAATGAAAAACAAAATAAAAAAAACATTTAATGAAACCCAAATCATTTTTTCCCTGAAAATAGAGGAAAAGAAATGAAAGGGGAGCAAATACTCTCCTTTTGTGTAGTAGATGTGTGTGTTTTCATTTATGGTGCATTCCACACATGCGAGTTCCATAGAGAAAGAACAAAGTTTAAAAACCTTCAACATGAGGACCTGAGATTCCTAAAGTCCAAATCAGACACTAAAGCTTCTCAGAAAAGACTAGGTGTTGGGACCCCATTTCCGGAGAGAAATCTAGCTCACGGTGGGACACCAGAGGGAAATAGGAAGAACAACCAGTCTGTGCCAATCCAGTTCTTAACTACGAACAACTGAAATGAACACTGGCAACTTAAAAGGGAAAGGAAACTGTGGCGGTACAGTAGGAGCTCACAGAATTCACACTAAAGGCGGAGGACCAGTTTATTTAGGAGGAATTTCCATGACTGTACCCAAGAACACACCTGGCCTTACCCCAGGATCAGCCCATCACCCCTGTGCACTTACTACCACCTCCAACTGGTCCTGTGTTTCTGTATCGTTCCCTCAGTGTTCAGATTCTGGGGTGGGAAGCACTCACTGGGCATGCCAGGGAGCTTCTTTTCAGTGGAGAATTCCTCCCAATAGGCAGCATGTTCAAATGCTGAGCACAGAGAGAAGGCAATTGTCCACACTGGAAACCAAGGAGCTTAGCAGCCGTTTATGTCTGCAGGCCTAGCTCATCCAGTTTAAAATAAGTAAGTTTCCAGCCAATTCCAGGAAATAGAATCTTCATGCTGACTGGATCCTGCCACTTGCGATGCGGTAGGTTTCCACACGTTATTACCAGGTAAGACTAGTCATAGACCATCATGGATTAAGCAAGATGCACAAAAGCAGGTGGAATGAATGAGGCCATGGTTAGTCGCCCTCTAAGCCTTTTGCTTTTGCCTAAGTCAAATCTGCTTGACCTTCATCAGAGCAGACACTGTCTTCCAAACTCATGTCAGAACACACTAAGGACAGAGTGTACACCCCAGCATTATGGGGCTAACAATGCCCAAGCAGAAAATATGCCATTTATCTGGCACAGTTTGGTCAATACGAAAGCCTCTAGCCAGCTTCCAGTCTATCTGAAAAAACTCCCACAGACTCTGTAGGGCAAAAATGCACAGAGATTTAGAAAGTCACGAACAGGTGAAAGTAAGGACAGAGAACTTTATTAACACTACATTCTCTTATTCATTCAATACATTTCTCTATTCAAAAGGCTTTGAAATTCCTCTGTTCAAAGGGCTTCTACTTTTATGATGCTAGAGCAAAGATGTCTCTACCACCTTTCTTTTCTTGAAAAGTCAACAGAACAAGGCTTTTAAAAAAAATTTGAACTCTATTTTTTAAATTAAAACTAGGAGACATCTAGATCCCTGCACCACAACATATGCAAAGTGTATGGTGAAATGGTGAGGGATGTGAGACACAGAGGATGGCCAAACCTCAGTGTCTGTGAAGGCAGCATCAACAGAAACAGGCTGCAGGGACCCCTGTGAAGGTGGCGGGTGGGCATAGGCAGAAACAGGGAGACCACTTGAAAGCCTGTACAAGGAGCAGTTAGACTCCAAGGCTACTCCACTGTCCCCTTTGTTGTAGAGCAACAAAGTTATAACACCAGCAGAAGAAAATAGGGGTGAAAACAAGGTCGGAAAGTGAACATGTGCATGTCAGAGCACAAGATCCTCCAGGCCTACAGGAACTCTCTCCACGCAGGTTGAGAACTCCAGTAGCCGGGCTGATATTCCCAAAATAAGAGACCGAGGGGCCATCCTCTGGGAAAATTAACCCATCTACTGAAAAGACTTACAGATAAACTATTAGTATCTGCAATGAGAATGCCACCCGGGTACCCAGTCACCCTACAAAGTCTGGCAGAAAACAAGCCCGCAGGCACACAGGTACACGTGGCACAAAAGGGCACACTCAGTTTCTTGTTAGATCTCCAGTGCCTCACCTCTTAAATAAGCAAAAGAGAAGGATCACCAGACATCTGAGTAAGCCCACAATAATTGAGAGAAAAGACCAAAATAAAGTGACAAAAAGTAAATTAGTGGAAACAGACAATACTGGTAAAAGAAGAAAACTTCAAAGAAATCATATTTAATATCTCCATTGAGCTAAGATACTGCATTCATCTCATAAGAGCCTATTATTAAAAAGAAAAAAATCAGGAAGAATGGAAAAGAAACAAAAAATTCAAGAAAAGAATTCAGAGGTTAAAGAAATCTCCCAGAAAGGAGAACAAAAAGTTAGAGAAGTGGACAATACAAAAAAAAGATAAGAACACTGGAAAATCAATGTTAAAAAGTTTTATACCCAAATTAATATGCAATCAAAAAAAAAAGGGAAAGAGCAGGGAGAAAATCTTCAAAGGAAATACTATGAGAACATATTCAATAACTCAACCACATAATTCTTAGGTTATAAGGACCCACTGAGCACTCAACTCAATGAAGGAAAAATAGCTTACATTGTGGTTAATTCACCAACAATTTTTGGATAAACATCAGTAAGAGATCTTAAAAACTAGCACAGAAGAAAATGGCAAAAACATGCAAAAGATCAAGGAAAACAACCTCAGACTTGTCCACTGCAGCACTGGAGAAGAGATGATAATGAAGCTGGGAGGCCAGAAAGATTCCCACCTGGGGTCCTGAGCCCAGCAGAACTACGAGGCAGCCTGAGACCACTTTCATGCCTGCCAAGTCTGAGGAAGATGTCGAAAAGGGCTGGATTTTGTTTGAAGCCTCCTACCTGTATGTGATAGCCTCACTCTATCACATTTTCGACGGCTGCCTGCATGTTCTAGGCTCCATAAACATTAAGGGGCCACACCCTGGCTACCATATACTTTCCCTAATAAAATATGAGCTCCACAAAAACATCCACCGTCACTCATGTAAGTTGCTGAGAAAGTACTTTAAGAGCAGTCCCAACTATCCTGTGAAGTCGATGCTACCTCCCTTTACTAAACGATGAGGCAATCAAGGCTAAGACGTAAGTGATTGTCTAAAGGCGTCACAGCACCCATAAAGGAGAATTCGAATCTACGTCCAACACAGCGTCAGGATTCTCTCCACGTGTGTGTAACCCCACGCGACCTGTGGCTTTGTTTTAACCTCTCCCCCGTATGCTGTGGGGTGGGGTTGGCGGGGTGACTTCATTTCAAGCCCCCAAAAGTACTCTGCTGTCCAGGCCACCCCTGCACAACCACAGCACAAGTCCCCAATGAACATTAGCTCACATACTGAGAGCTACGGAGAAAGGCAAATCCTAACGACAGTAGGAAGGGGCTTCTCAGTGTTTTTTCTTTACCTAGCGAGTGAGAAAGGGCACAGACGGTCCAATGGCTTCACCTTCTCATATGCTACATACACAGGGGGAAGGCACGAATGTGCTGTAGATGTTCCAGGGGCTCCATCTGGCTCATTAGCATAAAAACGGAAACTATGGTTTTTAATCAGTTATTCGGTTTTTTACACCACAGGAGAATAAAGATTCAAAAATAGTTACCCCTTCCACTTTGCCCTCCAAAATGTATTAATCAAAAAAGACCTTTTTCAATTTAGAATGCAGTAGGCTCACGTGCACAGCCGCGTTCCGCAGGCAGAGGCGGAAGCCTGGCAGGCGGCTCGCCAGAAAGCCGCGGGGGCGACCCGCCACTTACTCCACAGTACCGGTCACCATTGAAGATCTGCGGGGGCAGAGGGTTGCCCTGCGCCGGCCTCTTCTCCGGGGGGATGTTCTTGTACATCCACTGCCTCTGCTCCTCGGACATCGTGATGTCCACTTCCTCAAACTCCACCTTGTTGGCTTCCAGAAACCGAACCACATCTTGCTGCTGCTTCTTTATCTAGAGGGAAGACAAACACGCACGGATGCCTCCAAACGGAACCGGCAAGTCTCTCGTCCTCCCTGTCCGAGGTCATCGGCCCCAGAGGCGACTCGCCGGGTGCCGGGCACGTCCCGGGGACGCTGCAGAGGCCTCAGCCCCCCGGAAGTGGGCCACCGCCGCAGACTCCCCGGGGAGCGCGGCGCAGCGGCTCCCAGAAGCCCACGTCCGCCCGACCACCTGCCAAACACGTGGCGGCGACGACCGCGTGGCGTTCGGGAGCCACAGCACTTCCGTCCCGAGCGGCCCCTCTTCTCGAGGCCCGCGGCCGCGGCGGCTGTCCAGATACCACCCCACCCCTCGTCAGGCCCGAGAGGAACGGAGTCTCTGCTTCTAGGCCGAAGGGGGGCGCGCAGCCTCTCACTGACCCACTCCGTACCCTCTGGTTCCTCTGACCGGTCAGGTTTCCTTCTTCAGGCACTAGCGGCCGGGTGTGTCCTAACAGTTGCAAACGCATCTGTAGGTTTTCTGAATGTCACCAATCTCAATTTAAGGGCACATACTAAATAATTTATATTCAATATCCTAAACATAGCATGTGAAACATAAGAAACAAGCTTGCTTTTCCTAATGATTCTGGGAAATCCACACAAAGAACAAACTTATATGGTGAGGTAAATTTTACAATGTTCCTAATATTTATAATAATTAAAATATAATTTATAATGGCCAAAGAAAAGAATGATTTCAAGAGGTCAAGCAGCCAGAAAGACCTCTCATCACAGAAAATATATGCATGAACAGATTTTCACATTCCAGTGGCCCTGTCAATTCCCCACCTCTAACCTACCCACCACCAAAACCTCAGTGACGTGTGTCTCTAAGGCGCAAATCTGTTATATGCCATGAACAGAGATTCCAAACTGGGCTGAAGTCTACAAATTATGACGGACTGCACAACACAGCTCATAGGCACAGCATCAAAAAAGTTGGGAAAAGGGGGCTTCTTCAGGCTCAATGATATTAGACAATGAGAGAGTTAACTATAGGATTATAAATCCAAATGGATAATGGCATTATCTCAACTTACTGAAATTAATCCATTTCTCATTTCTGAAAATGTTAGTTTTTTTCCCCCTCACTGATACACAATTACAGAAATGTAGTTACATTATTTTGAAACTTCAGCTTCAAAAACAGCATCATCCATCCTGTGCTGCTTCCCCTTAAACCACACAAAGGTGGGCTTTACGGACTCTGAGGTTGAAAGTGGTCACCTCTTTTGGTAAGGTTCTATCACGTGTGTTCTTGTCAAGGCAAGAACATCATCCCCCCTATGCATCCTCTTTGCCGGGTCCCATTGCCCTTGGAAGAGTGCCCACATTTCCTTAGAGCAGACAGTGTCCTGCAGAACAAGCTCCTTGACTAGGAAGGCAACATGTCTGCACTGTTAAGCCTGGAAACTATATAACAAACAAAAAGTTACCCACAGTTCTACCACCTAGACAACCACTGGTACACATTTAATTACAGGAAAGAAGGGTCTAGCTTTAATGTCCATATGCAGAGCTCTACATATGTAACACATTTCAAATGCCCATGGGAAAGATCAAAATGAAGCACACAGTCCAGCCTTGGTTCACCATGTCATATACACACAACACCCCCACCCCACAATGTGAGTAAAGCCAGACACCCAGTAACTCCCCCACCGCTCCCCCATTCACACATACACTCACACTGCAGGACAATAATGCCCTGCAGCTCAACTGGCCATTTCTGTCATAGGATCACACTTGGTAAAAATAGGTGAATCTTGCCCCATTCACAGAACAATACATCATGGTTCTGTCCCCAGTCATTAAAAGCTTTTCCAAAGTATTAATTGTAGTATCTAGCCTCACATTCCACCATCTGAGTGTTTATACTGAACTACTCTGCGGCTGGGTAGTTAGCACACTGGAAAAGCACCATGCAGTGAACACCTCTATGGAGAAATCTCTGTATCTCAACACTACTTTAAGACAAAGCCCAGTGAATGAAAACTGATCAAAGGGCAGAACATTTTTCAGGCTCCTGAGGGACCAGTGATAAACTGCTTTTCAATAAGGCCACTGCTTACATTCCCACTAGCAATATTCGTAAGTGTTCATTTCTCAACGCCCCTTCCTCCTTATAGCCAGTCACAGAATATTAAAATCCCAGTGATGCGAGGTGTGGATGTGTTTGTTCATGAACTTACTGTGGTGGTCATTCCCCATATGTACATATCTGATCGCTACGCTGTACACCTTAAATTTACAGTATTTTCTGTCAATTATCTCAATAAAACCAGGGCAGAAAAAGATAGAAACTGGCTGCTGTTCTTAAAAAACAACAATTCAAATGCATCATTACACATTAACAATGCCCAGGAAGCAAAGTTCGGCTCCTTACTAACGTGGTGAGGAGTAAGGTGTCAGTTGTTATATCTCTATTCTAAAAGAGGGAAGCAGGGAGGCATGACCAGGTTTGTGTTCAAAGAGACCATTTTAATACTACGCAAATTAAAAAGCAAGAAGGAGGAATTCTGTATGCACCACTAACACTGCTATGAAAAGGTCTCCAACATATTTCAGTAAGTGAAAAAGAACAAGGAGCAGAACTATGCAGATTCAGCACTTTCTTTTGGGAAAAATATGGAGAAAAATCGGAATGCATTTGTTTTTGCTCATAATTGCATTAAAATAAACTCTTGAAGTTTACATACAAAGCTAAGAAGAGTGGTTGCCCAGGGCATGGGGGAGGGGAACTGGGGACAAAGGTGGGGACAAGAGTTCACTCTCTACATGTGAAAATTGAATTTTCTGGAAGAGTGGCTTTGTGAATATTCAAAAGATTGTTGAGAAAGGGAACTTCCCAGAGCACTGCCTGGCAGGCACGGGAACATGGCCTGGAGGGGACAGAGCACCGCCTGGAGGGAGGGCACCACACGTCTACAGAGGTCTCATGTTTACTTACATGCATAAGAACAGCCAGATGGTTAACGAATTTTAAAAAGGGAAAGCACTAAGGCCACAGAAAACTAGTCAAATCAGAACTACAGCAAATCACCCAAGTACACAAAGGGGAGACATTTACACCCAAAAGGCAGACTACCAACTGGATGACTTTGGCATCAGGAGGGAGAGGCACCACGGCTGCTCTAACACCTGCTCAGGGGATGGCGACGCCTGGAAGCCGGAGCCCAGCCGGAGGTGGGGGCTCAGGAAGGGTGCAGGCTGGTCAGGGCAGAAGGAAGCCACAGGGTGCTCTCTGCCTGCACAAACCCAGAGCGCCAGTTACACACACGCCATTTCCTCGGCACCAAGGGCCTCTTTCCCCGTGTGCAACTTACCCTGAAATAAAAGGTACCTCACAGTCATTCTCTGAAACAACCTGGGAGCAAACCGGAGGGAAGACATAAACTGGGGACAACCTATCACCTTTGGCCTTGGCCTATGTCAGCTCAGCCTTGAGAGGGAGTGCCCACACCCCATGGGGGGTTTTACACACCTAGAAGCCACAGCAGACACGCTAGTTCCTACCCTGCAGCCCACCTCCCTCTTCCCCTGAGAATGCAAAGCTGGTTGAGGAAAGCAGTGTGTTTGGCCACAGGACCCTGGCCACCCAAACTCCTCTGCAGGTGGAGTGACTATACGATCCATGTCTGGGCGATGAGGGGGAGGTGGGCCTTCCTTGGAAAGGTGCCACTCAGTGAATGAAGAGATAATACCCACTGCTGTGCAGAGATGCAGCTGTGGCGACTGGAGGAGTACACAGGAAAGCAAACACCGTAAGCCAAGCGTGGGCAGGCAGACAGACACACAGGAGCCAGGTCCTCGATGACATCTTACAGCAGCCACACCACTCCTTCACCGCCTCCAAAACCTTTGCGTATGACACGAATAAACCCTGAACCAGCTAAGCCACTCTCTATGGGGTTTTCTACAGTTTTCAAACACAATGCTACCTGAGAAAACTCTTAACTGCTACTTAAAATGTCTCCAGAAATATTACAGTATGATGGATTGAAAATAAAAGTTGCTACTGCATAGCAAGCCTAGAAATAAAAGCGGGGAGGCATAAATTTAATACAAGTGAATATCTGCCACTGCACAAACTGATGAGTATTCTCTTCATGAAACTACAAAGTGGTAAGACCTAAAACAGGAAGATACCTAGAAAAACATGAACATTGCATTTCACCTCATCGGTCAAACACATGCTATTACACAGCATCCAGAGCAATTAAAGGGATCGGACAAAGGAAATCTCTCAGGTTAGATCCCAAGCCGGCAATCTACCACCCACAGGCCAAATCGGGCCCTCCTTTTCTGTATGGCCCACAGCCAAAAACAGTCATTGTATTTTTAAATGGCTGGAAAAAAATCAAAACAGTAATAGTATTTCATGACATGTAAAAATTGTATGAAATATAAATTTCAATGCTATAAATAAGCTGTCTTGGACGACTGCTCTACACCAGTTCATTTACATACCACCTTCACCTTGGCTGCTTTCCCTATAGTGGCAGAGTTGAGTTGCTTGTGACAGAAGCTGTATGGTTGCCTGTGCCACTTACGGAAAAAGGTTGCCAGCCCTGGGCTAGACCACAGATCATTTCTGGCTCAGAGTCCACTTTCTTAGTGAGGTCTTTCCAGAAAACCTGATCTTACACTTTTACCAGCACCCCAGAACTCCCAACTCCCCTTCAAGGCTCCATTTCCCATCAGAGCACTTAATGTCTGACATATTGTGTGTTTTATGTATCTGCTTGTCCACCTCCCCTACCAGAATACAATCCACAAGGGCTGGGAGTTGTGTACTGCTGTGTCCATGGCTGTATTCCCAGGGCCCAGAATGGTGTCTGGCACAGCAGTGGCCAGTGAATAATATTCAGAATAGACAGCGTTTCACAGGTGGAAAGGCTGGTGTGGCAGGAAGGCTTGGGCCCTGACACCCACATCACTGAGGAGGCGCTGCCTTAAGGCCCCCCCTCC